TCATCAGTCACATACTTGTTGAGTCCTTACTAGACATCAGCTATTATTAAGGATCTTCAATATCTTTTAACGCAGGGATGGAAAGTGATGTTGAAATCACACTTATTCCTAGTGTAGCCACAACAGAAGTGGAAACCAAAAATTTTGGAGACGAGGAAAAGAATGATGGCATTTTTGCTTAAATGGAGGCTTTGTTCCTATCATTGGGATAATGCTGCCTATGCCCACTCATTCACCCAACACTCAGCAGATGTTTATTGAGTGTTTCCTACATGCGACACATTATACTAGGCTCTGGGTGATGGAGTGAAGATACAGGAAAAAACGAGCTCAGCAGTTACAATGGTGAAATGAGTTGCCTTTCAGCTTCTTCTGACCTAGGCCTTCACTATAAGAAACATTGCTCAGTCTACCTTCTCAGGCTGACAGGGGCCTACCTCCTCAATTATAAGTACAAAAACACTTTGTAAGCTAAACAAACACAGTTTATAATGTACTCACATCATGTATTATCAGCATAATACTTTTCTTTTATCCCTTTGGTAACATGAAAAATTGAGAAATCAACTTAAAATTAGTCAATTTTTCTAAAATTGCTGAGTCTGCAAGTGACTGAGAGGTTTCTGTTCCCCAAGCCTTACTGCCTGGGCCCAATTTTGAACAATTTGGCATTTTGTGACTTGCCTCTATTTTCCACAATCATCTCAGCTTTTAATTAAACCCAGTGCGACGTCTCCATGGCAATGACTCTGGCACACACCGGGAGACCTCAGAAGAACCACCCGCTGCCAATAAATATAATGAAAGCACCAACACTTCACGGTCACTATTAGCTGTGAGTTGCGGTCTTTGGTCAGTGGCACAAAATGGCAGGAGGAGACTAGATACATTTGACTTTGGTCGGGGTCTAAGTCCCCAGACCATCATCTCATTTCTACCCCTGAATACAGATCAGTAGCCTCTTCCCATTTTGACATTCCCTCTTTCAGCACTTCAACTTGGATTCTTTCTTCTGTAGCTGCTCAGTCTCCGGCTCCTCTAAGGGAGATGGAAAGGTGAATACGCATCTGTCTCGGCTGAGCACCTACAACATTTAGAAACTGGACAACAGACAGGAAATGAGAGTAAACAGCTGTCCGCCCAGTGGGATCTGTGTTTTCACATCTCAGGTAAGAGACAGAGAAAGGTGATGGGGCCCATGGTGATACAGTATGAGTAGCAGAAAAGACAGAGGCACAATTAAGGATGTGGGCTCTAAATAACTAGATTATTAAGTTTTAAAGTGAATTACCACAAAATTATATGTATACACTTTATACATATTCTAAATTAACTGATTCATTGCCCTTCCTAAATTTACACAGATGTTGTCTTGATTCTGGTTTAATTCAACACAGGACAATGATATTTTCATGGCAAAATCTTAAATAACAATTTCTTTGAAAAAAGGGCTGTACTAGACAAAGTTACAGTACCTAATACAGAGCCGAGAACTTAGTGAGTGCTCTACGAATAATTATAGTTCACAGATAATAAAGAAACAAGGAAAACTGCCCTCTGGGAACTCAAAAACTGGCAGAAACACTAGCACAAGCACATAGAGAACAGGTAGACTCAGGAAAAGAGTAAATGCACAAAAAAATTTACAAAAAGTAAATGCTATACACAAAGTGAAAGTATCTGCACGGTGATCATCTTCCTGATAAACATCTTTCTTTGAAAGACAAAGTCCTATGTTCTGTTGTTAATAATTCCACTCAGTTGCTTTTTATCTTGGGGTCATGATAGCACTTTGTGAAGTTCAGTTTCTTCATCTGTCAAATAAGATTACTAGGCTAGATCTTTAAGGTCCCCCAAAGCTGTAACATTTATGACTCAGGCTTTCTAGAAATACCCCTGAGTAAGAGACAAGGACTAATGCAACATGCCTTTCCCGATCCTGAGAAAGAAAACCTTCTTTATCCTGTTACATCCTTCCTGAAACCAATAAACATTCAAAAAGCATCATGAACTCTTCTCCATAGTGCCAGCCCTCCCTGCCCCTTTCCAATTCCAACTTCTAATTACAGAACTAATAATTGTATAACACTAACCCATTGCAAAAACACTGTCTCATCCATTTTGGAAAAAACTTAAGAGTTAGTTTCGCTGATATCAGAATAAAGCCCATTATAAAGATGAGGAAATCAATTCGGACAGTTATGTGTGAAAGTCCGACAGCTAATAAATGGTGGAGTTGAGACTTGAACCCATAACAAAATTTTAATAGAAGTCTTATTCACTAAATACCTTCATATTGAAGGAGGGTGGCAGAATTATGCTTTTTCTTTCTCACCTGCAGATGTCAAAATTGACGCTGATAGACTGGGAAAATACTCCCCAAAGAACTTAATTGAGTTTTTTGAGTTTGTGGCCTCAACATGAAGCTTATGGTAAGGAAACAGAGAAAGGAAAAGGAGAAAATGAAAGTTTTTTTCTCTGTCTCTTATTTCATAGTCCTGTGTAAACTTCTGCTTTTCCATTGCAAATGCGGGTGACTTCATGTTTATAAAGAACAAAACAACAGGGTACTTGTTTCTATTCTGAAGAGCAATCAACATTATGGAAAACATTAATCAGCTCACTCAAAATGCTGAAATAAGTAATGCCATGCAGATTCAGCCTGTATTTTTACAAAATGCTTAAAAGTGATGTTCAAATGTTATTTGTTCTTCAAAGCCTCTCCTGAAATTATTTTTTCTTCCTGGAAATTTTCAGTACATTTTGCTTGTTCTTATCACTTTTATGATAGTCTGTCTTATCATATGGCAAGTTCTTTAATTGGTTCTCTCTGCACTGAGAAAGGAACAATGATTTTATTCATATTTATATCTGTAGTGCTTAGAACATAAAAAAATATAAGAATTTTTAGGGACCTTAAACATAATCTATTCTAGTTTTCAGGAGCTCAGAGTACTTGAGGTTGATGCCTAAATATGTAGCTGAAACATGTTTTATATAATATGCATCCTCAATAATTATAAAGCACCTATAATGAGAAACACCTAAGTTTGTTATGTATGTGACTAAGATTACTTACAATTTGATCCTCTAAGTTTATCCCCCACACGGAAAAAACAGAAAATTTAGGAAACTTTCTTTACTTTCTATCTGCATAGATAACTCTGACTAAAGAGCAACTATGTACCAAAGGTAGCGCTTGCCTCCTTCTCAATACAAAACAGGACTCCATGGAAAACCAAGCTACTTTCAATCAGGCTTGGCAACCTCACAGGAATGGTGATCTCTCTTAAATTTTCCCTTCCTGGGAAAGCACAGACAAGGCAGTTTCAATGACTTGCCATGAGCTAAATGCGCACTATATCACTGATGAAAATATTTCTGATTCCAATCCCCACAGAGCAACAATAAAGTAATGAAAGGGAAGTATTTATTGACTACCCACTATTTATTGAACTAGTCTCTTTCATATACATGCTTTCAATTAATTCTTACAATAGCCTTGGGAGACAAGAATTACCCTTCTCCCATAAAAATGAGAAAATGGGCTTTAGAGTATTTAAGATTTTACCACCAGAACATGCCAGACCCAGGATTCAAGCCAACATCTGTCTAAGTTCAAAACTCATTTTATTCATACATCACCCAACTTCATACGTGCTCATGAGGGTAAAATTCCAGATGATATATGGGGAAATTCATTAGTAGCTCTGAGAACTGGGAATTCCAGACTTCGATAGTTAAAAGTACATTACCAATAAGTTTACCAATCTCTTAGGTGATTTAAAAAAAAAAAAAAACCTTGTGTTAAGCCCTGGGCAAAGAACCAGGGGAATCAGATGGAGAAAAGGAAAGTGATTTGTCCCTTCTGTAGGGTGATGAACTTTAAGTGTGATTAACGAAGCAGAAAACACCAGGGACCAGACAGCATTCCCCCAGAGGCCAGAAGATGTAATTGTGGTTAACTAAACTATTTACATATCTGGATTAAAGTAACAGAAAATAAAAACTACCCAGTCTCATGATACTTTTTCAAGCATGCTTTAGTTCAACCTTTCTATAACAGATGTAATGGAACCCAGAAACAAGTATAAAAATATTCATTTTTCCAAGGATGTACAAAAGAGGCATCTCCTCAGGGCTCTTATACTTCCAAGTGCATATCTGTAATTTCAATTACCACATCATTTTATAATAATCTCTTCCTCTAAATATGTCTCACCCTTGAACTTTGAGAAGCTTGAGGGGCTTGAATTGGCTCTTATTTATATGTGCACCCTTAACACATAGCCCAACGTGCTTAATACTTGTTGTGTACATCCTCATATTCTTAATTCAGTGATTCTTAGCTAAAGTAAGGTACATTGCCATTACTTAATGTTATTAATATTAGTTAAGATAAGTTTAATGGATATACTTCTACAATGGGATAAATGCAAGGATATCCTTATAATTTTCCTCTTATCTACTAACATTTCAATATGCTATAGAAAGCAGTGAAAGTACTAGGAATTGGGAATGATTCCAGGTACATAGAATTCCAATGGCCAGAGGCTGTCTCCTCTGCCATTTTCCTATTGTTAGCAGAGATTTATGTTTTAGGTTTAAATAGGTAAAACTTGGTTCTGTCTGGTACAGAAATCCTTGAGTATTCTTGGTACTTAGCAATCCTCCTGCCCATAATTAGATAAAACCAAAGATTCTCTTACTCTGTGAATCCTAAGACACCTGTGGTGCTATGAATGAGATGTATAACAACATTAAATTTATGTTTAAAGTACTTATTAAGAATCTATAGTTACTTTATATGGTTCTAGATGCTGAAGAGAATCAGCTGAGAATACATACAATTCACATCTTTCCCTCAAGGGTACAAAATCTAGTGCATATTTCAAAATGAAGTAAATGCTCTTATGTGAGCTCTGAAAAAGAAACAAATACTTGTATCAGGAGGTACCAAGGATGCTTCCCAAAAAAGTAGATTTTACAGAATCTTCAGAATTACAATGAAATATGTGTAAATAAAAATGGAAAACAAACTATCATGAGCAAGGAATACAGGCAAGGGAGGACACAACATGTTTGCATAATAGTAGCACATCCCAAAAAGGTCTATAAATGAGCTGGGAAACATAGTTTGAGTCCCAAAATGAAAGGCCTTGAAAATAATACTGAAGAGTTTTAACTTTATGCTGTAGTCATGAGTAAAATTTTTGAGGAGAGGCTCAGTATGCCCAAGTTTATATTTCATAAGACTAGTCTGCCATCAGGGGAAAGATAGACTGAAGATATGTGAAGGTGGTGACAGAAAAGACAGCTATAATGTGATTTCAGTAGAGGTTAGGCAATGTGGTGATAAGGAAGAAGAATTCTGAAGAAAGACTCTCCCTGCAGGAGGGAGGACTCGGAGATAAGCATTGGAGGATGGATAGATTCCATCTTGGAATAGATAAAAGGAAAGTAAAAGGGAAGAACTTTTTCCAGCCTTTCGTAGCAGAATAAAAACTGAAAGACAAGAGCCAGCATAATGAGGATGTAAGAAGGTGGAGCTGATTGGTTCCATGTAGAAACAGATTTGGAGAGAGTGTGGCTCTACATTACAGAGAGATTAAAACTAAAAGGAAGAGTGTAGGCGTAATTAGAATGATAATGAATAGGTATTGAAGATTAGGTAAGTTGTATATAAATGTGGTGTATTCAGATAGTTTATTGGCAACTGAAAGAAAGATTTCTTCAGGAGAATGTGAAGGCAAGGAAGCCAAATGGAGAACAAAATGGAGTTGCAAGATATTCTAAGAGTGAGAGCTAAGAATCTGAGTAGCAACTTCATCATGGGAGTGAAGATGAATGGATGGTTGAATCTGAGAAGTGTTAAGAACTTCTTTTTGGCTATAATGTTAGTATTACTTTAGATACTTAGATGTACACTTTGCCTGATTTTAGATAAAAACTTCTTCATGTTTTGGAGAAACAGGAAGGGGGAAGGATGATGAATTCAAAACTCAGAACCTGAAAGCACATGGCAATTATTTCCTGTGGCTTTACTGATTTTCAGGGATTTCTCTTGGCACTGTCTCCTCCTCTCTCAGATTGTACCCTGATTATGTACCCTCCATGGAGTCAGTCAGTGAGATGGTGGTGAGAGAGTTTGTCTTCCTGGGCTTCTCATCTCTGGCCGGGCTGCAGCAGCTGCTCTTTGTTATCTTCCTGCTCCTCTACCTCTTCACTCTGGGCACCAATGCCATCATCATTTCCACCATTGTGCTGGACAGGGCCCTTCACACTCCCATGTACTTCTTCCTCACTGTCCTCTCTTGCTCTGAGACCTGCTACACTTTCGTCATTGTACCCAAGATGCTGGTTGACCTGCTGGCCCAGAAGAAGACCATCTCCTTCTTGGGATGTGCCGTCCAGATGTTTACTTTCCTCTTCCTTGGCTGCTCTCACTCCTTCCTGCTGGCAGCCATGGGTTATGATCGCTACGTGGCCATCTGTAACCCACTGCGCTACACAGTGCTCATGGGACATGGGGTGTGTGTGGGACTAGTGGCTGCTGCCTGTGCTTGTGGCTTCACTGTTGCCCAAATTATCACATCCCTGGTATTTCATCTGCCCTTCCATTCCTCCAACCAACTACATCACTTCTTCTGTGACATATCTCCTGTCCTCAAGGTGGCATCCTGCCATACCCACTTGAGTCAGATTGTCATCTTCATGCTCTGTGCATTGGTCTTGGTTATTCCCTTGTCATTGATCTTGGTATCCTATATTCACGTCATCTCTGCCATACTTCAATTTCCTTCTACATTGGGCAGGTACAAAGCCTTCTCCACCTGTGCTTCTCACCTCATGGTTGTCACTGTGCACTATGGCTGTGCCTCTTTTATCTACTTAAGACCTCAATCCAACTACTCCTCAAGCCAGGATGCTCTGATATCAATGTCCTACAGTATCCTAACTCCATTGTTCAACCCAATGATTTACAGCTTGAGAAATAAAGAGTTCAAATCAGCACTTCATAGAGTTGTGGGGAGAATGATTTCTCTGCCACAGCATTAATCTGGATCCCGCTTTTTCCAAACAGTAAAGCAAAAGGTGAATAAGGCAAAATTTCCAGAGCAGAAATGATCAGGCAACTAGGAACAGTGTTCAGGAAAATAGATCGTTTCTCCTTCTTCACCAAATGTAAAATGTAAAAACCACAGCTTCTTGCCATGATCACATGAATTATTGCCCACTGAAATTATACTCAGTTAAAGGAAAAACAATGGATGGCTATTATAGAAAAACATTCAGGTGTTCAGAATTCTAGGTTCTGGCAAATACCATCACCCAATCTCACCCAGACTAGAAACTAACCCTGCAAAATAGAGCACAATCCTGAAGCTCACTTCTAGGGCTGTAGGCAGCTCCTGTCCCTAGATTCCCCTTCTTCTGGTTTTTTTTCTGAATCTCAGACTTTTAATAGTCAGGTCACAATTTTTAAATGCAATAATGTTTTCAAGATGCCTGTCACAATGTTTGATGCGTAAGAGATATCCAGTTAATGGTCAAGTAAGAAAATATAAAAATTATTTATGTGTTTCTAATGTATTAATGGAGCCCTGGTGGCACAGTGGTTAAGAACTCATCTGCTAACTGAAAGGTTGGCAGTTCGAACCCATCAGCAGCTCCAAGGGAGAAAGATGTGGCAGTCTGGAAATCCTATGAGGCAGTTCTACTCTGTCCTATGGGGTCACTATAAGTCAGAATCGACTTGAGAGCAGTGGGTAATGTATTGATGGGAGCTAGTTTTTCTATTTTTTTTATGCACTGGCGCTCATCTAAACTGGGTCAGCATTCCTTGAGTTGCTGCATTGGGACATACGTTAAAGAGAAGATCTAAGCTGGCTAAGCTTATCCCCATGTCATTAAACATGCACCAGATGGAAAACTGTGTGTAAAGACCTAACAGTCTTTGCTCTCCCTGTAACACAGGAGTCTGTACATACATTTTAGGACAGAACTTGAGTTATGCATTTTAGTTTTCTCTCCATCCTGCAGGAGTGAGAGCAGACAGGGAGCTTCATAAAGAGCTGTCTTCTCACATTCGATTTCTTTTCAAAATTCACATGTCAATAAAAGTCTCCTAACTGAATCATTTTGTTCTAAGAGTTTTCCCTTTCTTCCATCAATTTCTTTAGTAAAAGGGACATATACCTTCCAGGGGTTGAAGCAAAAGGGAAGAAAGTGGGATGTTTCATTCATAGGCCCAGTTTTATTGCGGAGTATAGAGCTTGTCTGCCAAGGATGAGATCTGAGCCAATATAAGTCAACTGGGTTTTGTCCATTTCTTAGAAACTTGAGACTTGCTGAAGGCAAGGCCTGAAGATCACAGTGACTAAAGCAAATCAATTTCTGTGGACAACAGTCTCTCTTTTCCTTGTCTTTCTTGTTCAGCCCAGGCCTCTAGCCTGTCAAGTTGTTTGATGAACAGAGAATGAATTGATAATCCTTTAATGTGAATCAGTTTAATGGATTGTTTACACCTTTATTGTGTGCTGTTGTTTACAAATGTTACTTTGTTTGCTCTTTAGAGCAACCCTGGGATCCATATTTTATAGATGAGAAAACAGATGCTCGGAGAACTAAAACAGCTTGTCTACAAGTCAGTAAAGAATAGATGCGAAGCCCACGTCATCTCCTTCCTTGACTAATGCTCTTTCAACATTCTCACATAATTCCTTGCAAAGACTGTGACTTTTTAATCAATAGAGTAGAAGACATAAGCATTCATCATGAATAATAAGATTAAACAATGTGGCATCTGTGGAAAAGATATCCTCTTAAATATAAGATGAATGAGTTTCAAATCATACCAAGCAGTTCAACCCCTATCCTAGTATAATGTGTGCATTGGGGAAGGGAAAATAAGAAAAGTGTTCACCTTTTACTTTGTTCATTTCTGAGAAATGAATGCTATTATTTTGGAATAAGATACTGGAGCACTGACCAGTGGGTAGGATTATTGTGTGTTAAAAGGTTGTTCATGTCCAAATGACTCTCCTGCCATTTTTCTTTCCTCTTTGTTTTTCCATGTGACTCAAGCATTAAGTTGATCTTGGTCCTGCCCTCATGGGTTAGTAATGAACATCTTGTTCTCCCTGTTCCTCTTTTCACACACACACACCTTTGAGTGTTCTGAAGAATGATGAGATTTTTAAAGTTGGGTTGACTTTAGCAAGAGAATGAAGTCCACTACACCTTTGAACTAGGCCATGTGTTCCAGTTGACGTTACAGAGAACTCTGCACTTGAATTTCAGTAATAGATTCAGTCAATAATAATAAATTTGGATGTTGATTTCCCATTTATCATCATCTGTTATGTATCTATCTTCCTTCTGCTTTCAGCTTTTGTTGGCATCTCCCAGCAGCAGCAGATAGCTATGACTCCAGCTGCCAGCTTCCTTTAGCACATTGAGTACCAGCTTTGCTAAGGAAAAGCTAAACCAAGGCATGATCAGGGAATTTCTGTGACCCTGGCTATAGTAAAATATAATATCATTAAAAGCAGACTTGTAGATTATCAGAGTGGCCTTGCTTATTAGGACTGATTTCCTAAGACACCCCTTGACACTCTGAGCAGATCGATCATAAATAAGGAGACAGATCCCATCCACTGATAAGGCATACATTTTCCATATTTTGTACTGGCAATCCAACCTTAAGCTCACAGAAGTTAACTGATTGATTAGCTGTGTCCTGTTCTATATTTATATCAATATGTACCCCCTCCAACAAAAATATCTTTATTTTCAAAAAAGCATTTAGTAAAGTGTACCCAGGAGATATAAAGTGACATATTATATCATGAAATACATTGAATTTCACTCCAAATATTACTTTTAGATATTACTCCCCAAATTTCTCTTCTAGACTGCCAGACTCCTACTCCCGCCATCAACCCCACATAGAGTCTTTAGGTTTCCCTAATTCCTCTCTCTTGTTCGTAAATCTCTACCAAGCATCAACCTTATCACTCATCTTGTCTATCCCTCTCCTATATTATGAAAGAAGTCTAAAGTGCTTACTCATAATCACTACTTAATATTATTTTCTGGCATGGGAAAGATTCTAACAGTCAGAATTAATGCAATAAAACAGAAGTAATGTGGTTAATTGTAACAGAAGAGATCTGATATAGGAAATCTGTTACATGGGTGTGGGAGGTTGAAAGAACAGAGAAGATATTGAGGAAATTCACATGATAATAATTGAAGGGATAATAATTGAAGTAAGATCTGGGGAACAACGGGAATGTGTGGCATTAACAAAAACTAAGACTTCAGAAGAAAGCCCCTGGAGATGTGGTACTGGAATTTCTCAGGAGGGGTCATGGCTTGGCAGTTGAGTAAATAATCTTTGGGCTATGCCCAGTAGGCGTGGCAACGTATCATAGGTGGTACCATGATTATCCAAAGGCACAGGATGTACGCTGCTGGTACCTCTGAGTGGGCACAGCAAAGCTGGTGAGGGGAGCCATGGCTATCTGCTGCTATTGCTGGGAGATACCAACAAAAACTGTAAGCAGAAGGGAAGTCTCTTCTCTCACATCCTTCCTTGCAGTCTCCCACAAGTACCTCCTATTGGCAGTTCCTAGTTGGAATCCAGCAGACAAGGGAGTTTTAGAAAAATGTAATTTGAAGAATCCCAACCCAACCCAAGCATCTATGAGCAAAGTATAGAACAGTGGCTTAGAGCTGAGAGACTACAGCTAAACAAGCACATAGGCATTTACATTGAGGAGGATAAGTAAATTTGTGCTTAGTCAACAAAGATTCTCCCATTATAAAGTTATATCTTCCATATAAGTCAAGGAGAAATCATAAAAAATACAAAATTTTGTTTTCCTATTCATTCATGTTACAATCTTAAAATTTATAAAGGTCAAGAGTTGATTATGTTGATTGGGTGGATACATACTTAGAGAAAAAGTTAACTCATTATTTTTTCAAAGTTAGTATCTTTCTTAATGAGATTTATAGTTCACACGTTTTCACAAAAAGCCACTCTAAAATAAAAGAGTTAGTTCTGCCTGTACTAGTTTAAGGAGCCCTGGTGACGCAGTAGTTAAGCACTTGGCCACTAACTGAAAGGTCAGCGATTTGAACCCACTAGCTGCTCCATGGGAGAAAGATGTGACAGTCTGCTTTTGTAAAGTCTGCAGTCTTGGAAGCCCGTGGGGCAGTTCTGCTCTGTCCTATAGTGTCACTATGAGTCAGAATCGACTCGACGACAATGAGTTTTCGGGGTTTTGGTATGAATTTAGTTCTGGACACCACTCCAGAAAAGTAGACATGCACATTTTCAAACGTATGTAGCCATTCTTTTCCTACAACCCCTTGTAATTAAAATGTGCCTGTGACACAAGTGCAAATATATTCTATAGGGCTTTGAGTCCAACGACCACAAAATACAGTAAGTATATGTCTAACGGGAAGAAATTGACCAACATGGAAATAGTATTCTAGAAATGCCATGCTGTAGCAAATTATTTCTGGTCCTATCTGCACTAATGGACTCAACTTTCATGTATTGATTCAACCTCCTTCAATGCTCAATGAGATATCTTTACATATATTTTCACCCAAAACCTCTGTACTTCCTGAGATTATTTCCCCAACTATTCTACTTGACTTTGAATTTTCCCTCTTGGAATTCTTTTTGGAATCTGATTCCAGTTTTTATTTCTTCACTCCTTATGTCTTAAGAAAGTTGCTTATTTTGCCTGGGGAGGACTTGTATCAAAACATAATAATCACTCCCACGGGACATGATAGCACAACTACAGAGCAGATGTTGTATCTGTGGTTGGCAGCAGAGACCAAAGGAAACATCTCTGGTAACAGTGCACAACAGCTCAGACTGACTTTGTAGAAGAGACGAACTCTTCAGAGCAGTGATCAGGGGGGTAGGGGGGCGTGCTAGATGCCCTGTATCCATCCACTGAGCTTTGGAAGTTTAAAAGTAAATCCCTGAACAGCCTACAAATGAACATACCAAGGACTAGGTCTGGGATATAGAAGTTCCTTTGGAGCTCAATACACCTGTGTAAGCTGGTCAACATAAGGTGATGGCAAAGTGAAAAATTTAAATCATTTACTGTACAAAACATCTAGAAATACATTTAATAATAAGTAACCAAGACCTGTTAGAATTAAGTCATGAAGACATTTTCTGAGGGATACAGAATAAAACCTGAATAGAAACACATTATGTACAAGGATAGATGCCTCAATTTTGTAGAGATGTCATTTAGTTTCTATTTCAGCTTTAAATTCAATTAAATCCCAATCAAAATCCTAATTTTTTTGATAACATGTTAAATATCCCTGAATTTCAAATGAAAAAGTAATCATGGATGAAAATCCAAGGATATTCTGCAGAACAAAGGTAAGATTTTCCCATCCTGAAAGAAAAGGCACTATAAAAGTACTATCATTAAAGTAGTGCAATATAGTACAAAACTAAACCCATGAATCAAAGCACAGAATGGGAAATTCAAAAATGATAATTCTAATTACTGAGGAAAGATTATTTTCAAAGAAATGGAGTTGAGTACATTGTTTAATATTAAAAGAATGCCGATTACATTCTATTTTCACAATTTATTCCC